CATGGATTACGTCATTTTCGACATGCCAGCTTCTGTTTATTGGAAAATTAAACATGAAAAGACCTTCTTCTTTAATGGAAAATTATGTGACTAATACGTACCCGATGAAGCTGTACTGACGCCATCAAGCAAATCCAATCCTTGCAGGGACAATCTCGTTCCATAATTCGGGTGTTGAGCATAAAAATCTAAAAGAGCCATGGACAAACACATGTTTGCCATAGCACCCATTTTTGAGTTCACATCTAGAACGACATCAGCATTATACACTAACCTTGTCGAATCCCAGGTTCCACGTAGTCCAGTTCCAGCAGTTTCCGCTTTTACAGTGAAGCCAACCGAGAAAAAAGAGAAGAAAATGAAGAGAAAAAAGGAAAGACAGTATGTGGAATTTGGCATCGGGACAGACATCTTCTAGAGTGGAAGTTTCGCAAGTTTCTTTACGGTTGTTAGTTTCGTTAACGTCGTTTTATATAGAGAGTTTGCACCTGCATGTTTGACAAGCACCATTTGATAGTAAGGAAAAAAAAAAAGGTATTGGTCTTCAAACAACTAGAGGGAAGCAGCTTCGTGGTGATTTCAAGGGGAATACGTTGTAATTTCTAAATATAATTAACAAAATACTAATGGTTTGTTCCTACACTTAAGAATGAAGAAATTATTAAGAATAAATATTTTCTGAAGGATACATGGACAGGTAAGAGCTTGAGAGACTTTGTCATCTCAAAAGTTTGAGATTCAATTCTAAAATGAATGTAATGACATTTATAGAATAAAATGGAAGGTGATTATCTTTTATCATTGAAACATAGGTCATATGTATAAAGAATAAAAATAAATCATAAGTGATTAATAATATAAGCTATTAAGCGGTGTTAATTATTATTCTATGTTTATTAAGATTTAAATTTTTAAAAATGTTATATGCAAGTCGATTTTCTTTATCTAATACAAATGAAAAATATTTTTATACGGTACTAGACCTTTTTATTTTTAATGAATACTAATATGCGCAAAAAAATGGAATGAGTCAACATTCCAAGGAGACAAGAAAGTGATAAGAAAAAGCATGATTTCAAACCAGGTAATGAATATCCAGTAAAATATGATTGCATCCTTCTTTTCTTTTTCCAACCTTTTGGATTCTTAATTTTGAATGGTTATCACCATGCAATGAAGTGAAAATAATAATAAAAAAAAAATTGAGAATATTAATTTAAAATTATATTTACAATAATTTTTATGTATATTTTAATATTATTTAGCATTTAATTTTTTAAAATTTTTATCCAATCAAAATATTAACACATTATTTATATGAAAATAATAATTAGGTTTTAATTTTTTAAAATAATAATATTTAAAATTCTCAATATAATTTTTTATAAATGTCAATGTAAGTATAACGTGTCAAATTACAATATCATTTTATGTGATATAAAGTCTAATATAAAATTAAATATAATTTCCTTTTTTACCATGAAAGAAAGGAAAAAAATTAATTGGAAACTGGATTTAGTCAAGTAAATTTCTAAATTGATTTAGTCAGTCAATCAAGAAAGCAACCGTTTTGCATCCTCGTAAAGGATTATTATTATTATTATTATTATTTCTTTGACTAAACAAAATTTTGAATGCAAGTGACTTCACTTGAAGTTGAGAGAGAAAAGAAATGGACTTTAGTTTTTTAACTTAATAATTTATTAATATTCTTATGAAATTTTTATTTCAGCACCTTAATTAAATAGTTGTACGTTAAAACAATTTTAAACGATCACGTTAGATGTAAGATGAATAATACCTGCTCAACTTCTGGGAAACTTCGGGTTAACATTTTAATTCACATGTCAACTCTAATGTCCATTTCAATTTGATGTCTAAAGCAGTCGACAATCAACGTAGTCTCTCTTTTAAGCCATATATTAATAGGTGACTAGATTTCAAGACAACAGCCAACAGTCGTAGCTGACTAATTTGCTGGTAGAGTACTAACTTGGTTTAACTTTTAACAATTTTAAATAGCAAAGTGTTGATATACTATTGGATGATCAATAGTTTTGTGATCGAAAATGTCTATAATAAACACTTGCACACTTACGAGGATGCTTCCTTTCGTCAAGATGCAGCATACAAATGTTAATTTAGAGGAGAAAGTAATAAAATATAACAATTTGACTAAAATACTTAATTTTTTATCTTTAAAAATTATATTATTATTTGCATATTATTTATGCTATCCTACCTTCCCCACTTATACTAGGTTTTTTTTTTTTTTTTTGACCTTTATATACAAAAGAGAGTTTTTTAATTGGTTAAATTTTAATATTTATGTTGAATTTGAAAAGTTGAAACTAATTGGTAGAGATTATTATTTCATTTTTTTATAGTTTTAAGCTTACAACTTACACCCATTAATCATTATCCATTTTTCTTTCTTTTATCTTTCCATAGAGAAAAACTAACAACAAGAACAAAGAATCTGCCGAAACTCCAAAGTGAGACGAGGTTGAAGAACTTCATTCTCTGCATAACCTCGTTAATGATATTTCTACAATATTCTATAAATCCTTCAATTGAATGGCCTGATGACTCAGTTCCTACCCCAACACCATGGCCTGAACAATTCCATGCAGTTCGTTGCATGACCTTGTACTCAGGGGGGTCACCAAATCACTGATCTCTGGTATGACTAGCCAAAAGGTCGCTATGTTAATATGCACCAGAAGCAGCTTGGGGTTTTTTTTTTTTTGGAAAACAAATTCGGAGATAAATAGGTTGTTTAGTCCTTTAGATCAGTATAAGATGTATTGTAACTAATAATTTAAGATAAATAATTGTAAATTATGCATTCGAGATTATCTCAATAAATGACTACCAATAAAACTCAAACTTAAAATCTTTTCGTTGAAAAAAATGATCATAACCGATTAAATCAATCACTTGTTAATGCTTAAAGTGTTTATGTATGATATAAAGTGGAACAATGGCACCTCCTTTTACTGCACTCTGGGAACGAATGGAGCATGAGAGATCATTGATTTTGGAGTTGGCATTCCCAGGCCTGATTTTCTTGATGGAGCTCATTCCATCAAGAGATTTCTATGATTGTATGTGCTTATTAATTTGTTTTTTTTTTTTTTCAACGAAATATTCATTTTCATGACGATAAATTTTGAAATATATGAAATGTTTAAATTTTTTGATCAAAAAATTAGTTAATCAAAAATTAAATATTCAATTTGAGATTAATAGTTGCATGATTATTCTATTCAAAACTAAATATTTTTAATTTAATATTTTAATTTGTACAATTAAAGATTAAATTTATTAAATATTTATAATTAAAGATAAGTTTGGGTGGAAATTGGTGTGTGTTTCACACACACCATTAACTCTAATAAAAATAATAATTAAATGAAAAAAAGATTATATATCATTTTTTAGTGGTTAAATATTATTTTAAATAAAATTTTAAAAATAATCCTAAAATTCATATTTATGTTTTAGAAAAAAGATTTTTAAAAAATCATTTCATTCTTTCTTTTTAATTTAAATACAGTTTTAAAAATAAAAAGTAAGAAAAAAATTCAAAATTTTGATTTTTTACACAATCATTAAATTTTCAATTACTCAATATTAATCTATATAAAAAAAAATCATCAATCCACACTATAATACTCATGAAATTAAAAAACCCACTACTAAACTAAAAAATTTTTGTTTGATTTCAAAAACCCAAATCTTTTCCTTACCGTTGAAACCAAGAAATTTTTGTATGTTTGATTTCAAAAACTCAAATACTTACCCAAATCCTTTTCCTATTGTTGGAATCAAAAAATTTTTGTTTGATTTCAAAAACCAAAATCTTTTCCCTACTGTAGGGTACTCTAACTTCAAAAACTCACTTTCTTTATTTTCGCTTACGAACACCTTTAAATTATAAATCGATTCTTTCAGTTGCAGGTTTTTTGCTTATATGTTTCACCGTATTTTTTTCCTTTTCAAAGAAAGGGTTATACTAGTATTTTTATTGTACTTTCTTTCAAAATCTTTAAGGAATTATATGAGAAAAAGGGTAGATGGTGAAACCAAGTTTTGACTTCTTTTCATAATCTATAGACAAGCATTCCAAAAATAATGAGCCTAAATCAGAACCAATGCCGCCATCAACAATATTAAATATAAAAAATTCTTACAAATCAGTTGTCAACCAATTTTCTTACTCGGGTCAAGACAAAGATCCACAATCTCTTTACTAACTGGTATAGCCTTCTTAATAACAATTTACCTGGAATATTTCTTTACAATAGGTTTCATAGAGAAACAAGAGTTGAAGGGATTGAGGAAAGAAAATTTTGAAGCTAAGACACAAAAAAAATCTGGAAAGAAAGAAGAAAAAAATTTGTTTTGCTCTTATCAAACTAAAGTTTTTTATGATTTTATTATTTTCTTAAGTTTTGGATATAAATCAATGTTAACATAAACCTAAATAACGCAAGCAAATCACACATAAGAGACACAAACATTTTTTTATTCAAATTTATCTTTAATTATTAATATTCGATAATATTTATTTTTGAATTGAGTAATTATAAAAAATTTTAATTTTAAATTAAACATTTAGCTTTAATTAAATTAATCAAACAAGATTATTGGCAAAAAAAATCAATCAAGATTCGATTTCAATTAAGGGATTGATTTTTATGTTCTATTTAATTTAATTAATAAATCTTGACGTATTTGCAGGAGTCTTTATAGTTATGCAATATATATATATATATATATATATAGACTCAATATTTCTTTGCTCAAGTTTAATCATCACTAATTATTTAATTATTTAATTAATTTAATTCATGTTAATTTACTTAATAATTTCCACATAAGGGGAATTAATGGAACATATCTTATAAAATTCAGGATAGCGTAGTTAAACATTTTAAAAAGAATATATATAAATATATATATATATATATATATATATATTTGCTGCAGCTGTTCCATAACCGCACAGAATTCTACCCAACTTTTCCTTCTTCTATGTTACTTTATTTCTCTTTCTCTATTTTTGTCTCCATTTCGATTCGATTCAGTTCCCAGCAATAAATTATAAGAACGCAACCAGGAGAAAAAAAAAAAAAAGAAATTGCAACTCTCACCCCTTCTGCTTCTCGAATTCTCAATTCAACCCTTCTCGAAATCTCAACTCCTCTTGCAAGCAGACCCTCTCCTTTTGTACAGGGAGGAAATCGAAGGGGTGCTGCTTTGCAGATCTGATCCAAGTTCATGCGTTGAGAGAGTGATTTTCTGCATTTAACGACATGGGTATGCTGTTTACAAAAATGTTCTCTTCTCTGTTTGGAAACAAGGAGGCTCGGATCCTTGTTCTCGGCCTTGACAATGCCGGCAAAACCACCATTCTCTGTATAATTTCACATCCTTTTTATGTTTTAAGTGATACCCATTTTTTAATATCGGGATTTATGAAATGGGTATTTGCTATTTTTTTTGATAAGTTTGTGTTTTTGGTTGCAGATCGGCTTCAGATGGGTGAAGTTGTCTCCACAATTCCAAGTTAGTCTTCCTTTTTGAATTCTGTCACTTTTTTTTTTCTTTTGTTTGAAAGGGAATTATTGAGCATTTTGATATGTTGTGGGGAGTAAAACTAGATAAGTTAAGATTTGCAATTAAACATATCAAAGGCTTCTTTTTTATTTAAGAATTGCTATTTGATTTGTTTGTTCTTTATGATGCAGCAATTGGATTTAATGTTGAAACAGTGCAGTACAATAACATCAAATTTCAAGTTTGGGATTTAGGTATGCTGCCTACCAGTACTTCTTGATCAGGATCTTTAACATGTATACTAGATTTGTTATAGCAATGTCCTGAATTTCCTATCGATTTGATTCACAACATATGCATGTTAAAGTCATATTAGAAAAAACCTCAGTTTTGAAACTTATATATCAGGATGATGAAACAGTTATTATTCTGAGAATTTGAATCTTCTACTTTCTTATACCAAAGACTTCACTGTGATAATTACAACTTTTGTAACCTTAATTCTCAATTTTTTAAAGTAGCTGGATCTGGCTTTCAATCCAAAATTTATATGATTCTTTTGCCTCTAGTATCTTTATATATCGGTTCTAAGTATGTCATCTGAGAAACCAGCATGATAAGTAACAATCTGAAGCAAATTTCTGAATAGCATTACTTTTCAAAGCCGGATGAAATAAAACCATCTCTTATTTGGGACATCTGTCTCAACTTATAGGAGAAATCAGGAACAATGGAAACTTACCTTTGGCTGCCAATCCAAGCTCCAATTCTGCAAACTTAGATGAATAGGTTTTTCCTTTCTGATGCAAGTTTGATGTTATTCAAAGCCATTGAACTTCGTCAAAATAAAAGTATCAAGTTGTAGAATTTTAAGCTCTTAGTAATAGACTGAAATTCAATACCCTGTTTCATAATTGTGCTTTCTTTTATTATTTTGGGCTATTTAATTTCATTGGTCAGAATGTAATTGATGTCAACTTCTTGTCTTGATATATTTATCATTTATTGATGCAGGTGGACAAACAAGTATCAGGTAACTTTTCCAAACATGCAACTTTTTTTTTTTAATTTCATTCATTTTGTTGGCAACTCATCTATGAGATGTTTGGTTTCCAGAAGGTCTATGTAAAATTGTGTCTTTGTGAGTCTACAGTAGGCCATTGGCTACTTAGACAATTTAATTGAGCTAATATTGCTTGCACTCAAAGTTATATGATACACAATATGTTCTGTTAATTATGGAAAAGATAAGGTATAGATATGTCTTATGTTGTTATATTCATTTCATGGTGACTGCTTATTATTAATTTTTTATGCATATAAGAAGAATCATTTTCATGCATTACTTGTGCAGTTTTTCAAAGAGAGGTTGTAGCCTTTCAAGGGTCCTTTCCTGAGATTACTTCAACTTAATTCTACCTTAAAATATCTTTATTCTGAGTACACTGTTTTGGCAAACATGGAAAGATTTTACTGCTTTTTTCTTAAATTAAATGACCACAAAGAATAAGAAAATTAGCTTTAAGTTTTTATATTTATATTAAAATTTTAATTTTTTCATAATATCGGTGTTCAATGGTTTTTAATACCAAAAATTTTTTTTAAATGTGAGAAAATAATATTTAGTATGGAAAAGATAAGAGTGTTAGGGTTTAAAAACAGAAACAAAGCTGTAAGACATTCCCAAAGAAAAGATGGACATTGAATTTGGGACAAAGTTAGTAATGAATTTTAACAGTGTTGTAGGATTGCTTCCTTTTACTTATACTGCTACTTGAAGAAATGTAGAACATGTGTGATTGGATATGGTTATAGGATTTATTTTTTCTTTAAATTTTATTGAACTTATAATTGCTAAAAATCATCTAGAATGGACATCTTTAAAAAGCCACAAGTTAGACTAAACCATCTTATTTGCTCTTTGTATCTATTTGAGAGAGAGTATCAAAGACTGTTTTTACTGTACAATCTGAACCTAGATTTACGGCTGTTGTTTATTAACATTTCATTGTTCTTATAAATGGCTCTTTCTTTTACCTTTTTAGCTTTACAACAAACCAATTTTGAGTCTGTCATGACATTTCAATGTTGTATTCATGGGTTCCTCTCTTTACACCAATCTTGTAATTAGGACTAGCGATTTAATTGATTAGCATTATTCCAGGTTATTTCATTGTCTTAAAGTTTTGAAATAAAGTAAATAAATTTTTGCATCTTATGGTGTATTACTGCCGGACAAAAACATTGCACTTTCTGTTCAATTTTTAGTGTACAACTTATATATTGTTTCCCTATATTCACTTAACAAAATGATGCTCCCAGCAATAGACCACCTGCCTAGTTTCTTATTTCCCTTTTCTCCGCAGGCCATATTGGAGATGCTACTTTCCAAATACTCAGGCTATAATCTATGTTGTTGATTCAAGTGACAGAGATAGGCTAGTGATAGCTAAAGAGGAATTTCATGCAATCTTGGAGGTAAACTCATCTAGATCTATTTCTTCATACTGGCTATATTTTACTAGTCTTTCTCTGTAAAACATACTATGCTCTTGCTATGGTCTACCTTAGAAATATTCCATGCGGTGAAGATGAAATATAGATAATTTGTAGGTTGTAAGGTTTATCTCATAGTCCATTGTAGGAACTGTATTATTTTAGAAGTTTGACAAAAGGAAAAGAATGATGTGTGGAAACTTTCTATTGTCTTTCTGTCGCTCCCTGTGTTGAATGTTATTTCCCTACAGAGTTATCTTCAATTTTTAAATAGTATTTCAGGTTATTATAGTCTTTCTGTATTAGCTTTTCCCTTTGTGTGTTTTATTTATTTACGCGAAATCTCATTCTGACGACTTCTTTGTCTACTTGTCATCTCCCATAAGAATAAATAAAGCAAATGTTCTGAATCCTTTGCAGGAGGAGGAGCTAAGAGGAGCAATAGTTCTTATTTTTGCAAATAAGCAGGTTGGTGCAATTCTTTTGCTTCTTCTTCTTCTTGGAGCTAGTGTAGAATTTTTTTTTATTTTCTAATGTGTGAGATTGAGCAAAAGCTGATTGTGGGCATGGCATTAAAAGCCCTTATTGCAAAAGGAAATAATATGCAGTTTCTTATGCTTACATATATTTGAGAGTGAATTTGGATTTTGTTTGCTGTACACATTGTGAGGACGAATTTACACATCATGAATAAATTAATCATGAAGATCTTTTTTTCATGAGTTCTATTGCTCAAATTAATTCTTGTAAATTTGTAATCCAAATCTATTATTTCAAATTTAAGTTCTCAAATACAACCTAAAAACTTTTGGTTGAGAAAAAGGGAATAACTTATTTTATTTGGTGATCGAAGATTGTAAGCCACTTTGACTGTTTTTTATTTATGAATTTTTCTTAAATTATGTCACTTTTTTGGTGTGTACAGGATCTTCCAGGTGCACTTGATGATGTTGCTGTTACAGAGGCTTTGGAGTTACACAAGATAAAAAATCGCCAATGGGCTATTTTTAAAACTTCGGCAATTAAAGGGGAAGGTCTTTTTGAAGGCTTGGACTGGTAAGTTTTGTATCACATGTAATTCATGTTATCTTTGAATTTAATTGGCAAAATTGCTCCTCAAATCCACAAAATTCAGCATGTACATATAGCTTGCTTTGCTGCCTATGCTATGATGAGATTTGTTGCATGAATTTACAAATAAGAACTTCATCATCAAGTTCTATGCATCTTTTTCAACAAAAGAAAGAAGTTCCAAAGAAATCTATCCACTCCTTGAACAATTCATCTTTTCTAAAAAGTTGTAGAATGCTGAGTCATTATTTATGCACATCGATTAGTTCATGAACAATATGATGATGCCGTCAAGAAGGTAAGACACCTGTAAACGACTTCTTGCTCTCATGATATTTTGTTTGATTTTGTTTGATTTTGTTCACCCCTAGGAGACATTGTTTTGGCCACTGACAGCTGAAGATTCTGAGAAATCCACTAACCTAATTAGCACATGTAGCAACTCAGATGAAAACAATATTGAGAAGCTTTTTCAATTCTCTCTTTTCTTTTTTGATAATCTTTTTGAACTACTAAAGGAAATTTGTCTGTCATCATTGTAGGTTGAGTAATACGCTTAAATCCGGAAGTGGCTAACTTTGGGTGTGAAGAATTAGAAGCTTGCTGCTATGTGATCAGGCTGGAGCGAGGAACTGGGAATGGTGTTTGCTTGATATGATATGATGGAAATTTGAGCTGCGGGCACCGTTGTGTCAATTGACCTTCCAAATTTTATGCTATTTATTATTATTATTATTATTATTTGGATAAACCTCTGGTATACATGTAAAATTTTGTCAATTGACCTTAATTTTTTTTTACCATTGTACTTCCCCTTCCCTACTGCAGAAGCTACCTTTCCTTCTCAACTTCAGAATCAGCTTTCCTTTTGTAGTCTGCTTTCTGAGTTGGATATTCAGCTGCAAAATCTTCTACTTTTCTTGCTTCGATCAATTCAAGTTGAGGTTGTTTTCTCTCTAAATCATTTTAGATTTAAGCAAGTTTAGATGATTTTTGGATTTTTTTTTTCTTGTACTTGATGGATTGATTTAGATATTAACAAGCATATCTAAGCTGCTTAAATATTCATTATTAATAAAATTACAATGAGGAGGGATATTTTTTTTTCTTTTAAATTCTTTATCAAAAGAATAATAAAATTATCTTATTGATTTATTATTCAAAAATTTTAATATAAATTTTTTTTTTCTTTACATACTTTTCTAAAAGATTATCCTGCTTTTATTAATTTCTTTGTATTTAATACAAATCTTCTCTGTTAATGCAATTTCCTATTTCATACATAAAATAAAATAAAATAAAAGAAAACAAAAAAATAGGAAGTTCTGTTTACATTCCATGAAATATATTCTACCCCAACTTTTATTTATACCCCAAATTTAAAACTTAAAACTAATTTTTTATTCATTACACTCTATTTCAATTTATTATTTTGGGGCTAAAATAATAAATTAAATTAGAAAGGGAGGCTAAGTTTTAAATTACGGGAACCAAAAGAAAATTTTTAATTTTATCAAAACTTTTGGTGGGCTCCCTAAATTCGTCTCTATTATAGGAGCATATCACTTACAATTCTTGTGGATCATAAAAAAAAAATTATGTACAACTCCCACTTTAAATGATGTATTCTTACATAATTGATAACTTTTTGTTTTGATTGGCTCATGATAAGTGAAATACTTTCATTTACTATTCATCAATTTTTAATTAATATTTTGATAATATTAATTAAAAATTAGTAAATAGTAGAGGCGACCTTAGGGAGCAGACATCACCAATTCTTAATTAATATTGTACTTGGTGTAAGATATCAAAGGAACATAGAGGAGAAGATAACTATGAACAGAAAACAAAAGAAGATTAAAAATAATTTGGGTTTGGTATGGATTACATTTTTCATATTAACAGAGATATTAAATAAAATTCTTGCCAAACAAGAAGTTGGCAGAGATATGGATTCTATTGCATGGCTGTGATTTCTTTTAATCATTGTTATTTCCAAATATAAATTTAGTAGGCTTATTTTAGTAGCTTATATTGAGTTTGGTCATACTTAGTTTGTCAATGTTGTGCTGGAGTTCTTATTCTCTTATGTTGAGACAATTTGTATCGCTCTTGCTTTTCAGACACACCTACTCACACACCCAAACCAGATTCGTAGGTAAAGCCTCAATGAAATTCGAATCAATGGCTCAAAGGTCTTGCTGTCGATTTCGTGGTGTCTATTCATTGAAAACAAAGTGGTCGAGAGAAGCATGTGAGCCTTCTCCAACCTTGATATCAACCACAAAAATACATGCATAATACATGCAGCCATGACCTAAATTATTGTTTCATTTAGCGACAAAAATGCAGTAGAATTTGTGGTATGAGAGCATGCGATTCGCGAGCCCTCTGCAACCTTGATATCAACCACAAAAATACATGCAGCCATGACCTAAATTATTGTTTCATTTAGCGACAAAAATGCAGTAGAATTTGTGGTATGAGAGCATGCGATTCGCGAGTTATTGCTTTTTTTATTAAAAAAAAAACAATAACAACAACAAAAGTATTGTTTCAATAACAAAAAAAAAAATTGACAATTTTTAAAGTCTAAATTCTAATATTATTGTTATGTGAATTTAATCAAACTTTATATATTAATTTTATTGGTTGGTTGGTTTATTAATTTTTTATAATATATTCCAGCTAATGTATCATATTATATATTTTTAAAATTTGTTTGATTGCGATTGTATATATATATATTTTTAAATATAGTCTCACAAAAAGGAAGATTTATAGTCATTTCCCATTTATATCATTATCATGATGAGAATTAAGGCTTTATTGAGAGAATAATTGAGTTAGAAAACTGTAGTTGAAAGTTTTATAAAATGTACTTTTTTTGTTTTTCACTTTCAATTTTCAGTTTGCATTTGTTATGCAAACTAGTTTTATAACACTCCCAAATGCTAGACCAAACTCATTCTAAGAAGATGTTTATTAGTGCGTAAAAAAAATAATCTCCAAATCTAATTAATTACTAGTAATCTAAAGTGTCCGTACTGACATTAGTTGTTGCTCTCGAATTAACTAATACATGCTAAGTCGTAAATAGTGGGATGACGTAACGTAATCAAAAGAAGACATGAGAGGATGGTTGAGAAGGCCCAGACGATTGCAATTAGGCCCAGTCTTAGGCCATCCCATCAACCAATGTTTTTCATGTGGAGTGGAAGACTTAAAAATTTCTTTTCCAGCCTAGTCAACGATTATAGCTGAGTTTCTTGAGCCTATAAATTCCACCCTTACTTCGTAGGCCTCAGCTCACCGATCACTTCGAGCTTCCAGGCATCTCCTTCTTTGTCCTGTTTAGAAGTGGACAATGGCTTCTTCTGTTCTCAGGACAAGTTGTCTTCCCCTGCTACAGTCCCATGATGTATATAATTCGATTTCAAACTTGCATAATTTTACCACCACTCACCACAGAGGTGACGGTAAGGTCTGTCTCTCCTCGCTCACTCCATGTCTCATGGGAGGAAAAATTGCAACGATTTTATTGGTTTTCGGAAATCCCAGTTACATATAAATGAATTCAGGGGCTCACCAGTTAAGTTCTTTTGTATTTATTGCAGTGTCGGTTCAATGGAGTAGCAGCTACCCACCTGGAAACAGGAAATGCAAGTAATGACAGAAACGCCTGGGTGAAAGAAGACCAGCGAAAAACACAAGATGGACACTCCAAAAGATTACTTAATTTCTCAGGAGAAAAACCATCCACCCCAGTTCTTGATACGATAAACTATCCCATTCAAACGAAGAATCTTTCCATCGAGGTATAAAATATAAACTATAAACAATAATATTTAAAACGAAAACATTTTCATCCGATTTAATTATGTTTCCAAGAAAATAATATGTTTCTTCATCAAAACCATATCTAGGAGCTTCGTAAGTTAGCTGATGAACTACGAGAAGAGCTAGTATACACCGTGTCAAAGACAGGTGGGCACCTTAGTTCAAGCCTAGGGGTGGCTGAGCTAACAGTGGCCCTTCACCATGTTTTTAATACTCCTGATGATAAGATCATTTGGGATGTTGGACATCAGGTAAATGACTTCTTTTTTATTCCTTATATATAGCTCCATCTAAATATATATGATCAATTTCACTTTTGGATAAATTTTTTTATTGAATTTTGGTATTTACAGGCTTACGCACATAAGATTTTAACTGGAAGAAGATCAAGAATGCATACGATTAGACAAACATGTGGATTAGCAGGATTTCCGAAAAGGGAGGAGAGCATTCATGATGCGTTTGGAGTTGGCCATAGTTCTACTAGCATTTCAGCTGGATTAGGTATATGTTCAAAGCTCTTGTTGCCGAGTGGTACCATTAAAGATGTGATGGAGGTTAAAAATGGATAGAACTTGAATGATTGCAACATGAGTTGGACCCAAAGAAAAAATAAATAATTAAAGTTGGTCACAATCAATGGTCATTTGACGACAGGAGCATCCCCACCAACTACTTTTGCTTTGCATAAACAAAATGAAGTGACAAAATTTCTTTTTTTTCACAAAAAGATGCTAATGTGGGATCTTTTATTGCTTTCCAGGGATGGCAGTTGGAAGAGATTTGTTAGGGAAGAACAATCATGTAATTGCAGTAATAGGTGATGGAGCCATGACTGCTGGAATGGCATATGAAGCAATGAACAATACAGGTCATCTTAACACAAATCTTATCATCATCTTGAACGATAATGAGCAAGTCTCCTTGCCTACTGCCACAGTCGATGGCCCTGCTCCTCCTGTGGGAGCTCTTAGTAAAGCTTTAACTAAGCTGCAATCAAGCAGGGAATTTCGTCAATTACGCGAAGCTGCAAAGGTGATCAACATTCGGCTCTTGGAAGCCTAATAGTTCTCTAGTTGGAATAGGACTTTTTTTATTCAACTTTAGGCTAAAATAACTCTGCATAATGGGCTTATTAAGTTCTTTGACATTTCGACAGGGCATCACAAAGCAAATAGGAGGGAAAACACATGAAATCGCTGCCAAATTTGATTCCTATGTGAGAGGAATGGTAGGTGGCTCTGGGCCTAGCCTATTTGAAGAACTAGGAATATACTACATTGGTCCAGTGGATGGTCATAATGTAGAAGACCTTGTTTATGTCTTAAATGAAATTAAGTCAATGCCAGCCCCGGGGCCTGTTCTCATTCATGTCATTACCGAGAAGGGAAAAGGCTATGCTCCTGCAGAAATTGCGCCTGACAAAATGCATGGTACATACGATTCAAAGTGTCATCACAAATTTTTTTTTTTTCATAAAACTTCAGTGTTTATAGAACTAGGCCTTACAGGGTTTTCTTCTCGTTCTAGGCGTTGTGAAATTTGATCCCAAGTCCGGAAAACAAATGAAGAGCAAGTCAGAAACGCTTTCATATACCCAGTACTTTGCAGAGTCTTTAATAGCTGAAGCAGAGCAAGATGATAAAATTGTAGGAATTCATGCTGCGATGGGTGGAGGAACAGGACTTAATTTATTCCAAAAGCGATTCCCTGATAGATGCTTTGATGTTGGTATAGCAGAACAACATGCTGTTACGTTTGCTGCTGGTCTAGCTTCTGAAGGGCTTAAACCTTTTTGTGCCATTTACTCTTCGTTTCTACAAAGAGGATTTGATCAGGTAATTGAAATTATCCCCACTTTAATTTATATTAATCTCAAAGACAGCAATACAAAAACTTGATAATATCAAATGAACTCGAACTTGATTTTGGTTGCAGGTTGCTCACGATGTAGATCTTCAAAAGCTTCCAGTGAGATTTGCAATAGACAGGGCCGGACTGGTGGGTGCAGATGGACCGACCCATTGCGGTGCCTTCGACACAACTTTTATGGCATGTTTGCCCAACATGGTGGTCATGGCCCCATCAAATGAGACGGAGCTGATGCATATGGTGGCC